TCCTTCAAGTGATTCATCATTGTCAGAGGACTGAACTAAACAAGCACTTCCATGAACATCTTCCATTACATTGTTTGGCCCCTTGTTTGCATCAAGAATAGATGGAGACAAAGTTCCATGTCCAAGCTCATCATCTTTGCAGTTAGGATAAATACTGCTAACAGGTTCACAATCAATAGTTTCACAGGATTTGCTGTCTCCAAAATTTCGACGAGCAGTCCAATATTTTTTTCTTTGTTTCAAGTGTTCCATAGCAGCACAAACATATGGAAGCTTCTCCAGGTCATCAACAAGCCCTGATTCAGCTCGTGCTAGCCAATTATCCAATGATGATATTGCTTCTCTAACAGAGAGATCCACATCCAAAGTAAGTATGAACTTTGAAAAGGAGTCACAAGACTTGCTACTCGTTCCTTCCTTGACCTTCTCATGTAGAGAAAATGAGTCTTTTTTCCGAGTTAAAAGCATAAATTCTAGCACATCACCAACATTGTGGCCAGTAACATTTTCCGCAAAGATAGTATACAAATCCCTTGAGGATATCATCATAAAACAGAGTGGGCATTTTCTCCAGCATTCTGCTTTATGATTTTCCTCACCCATAAGTAAGTATTGCAAGATACATGGAAAACAGAATATATGTCCACAAGACGTGATCTGTGGGCAGAGAGGAGTATCCAAACAAATTGGACATTGAATAGGGTGCGGAGTTGAGTATATCAAACATATTATATCCTCCCACTGTAATGTTTTGTCAGGATCCATAGATTCAATAGTATAGCTTCCAGAATCCAAGACAACAAATTTGTAGTTAGCCTGGAGGAAAAGGTCCTTATTGTAAGGCTTAATCTTCTGAGGCTTTTTCAGTGGAGGACCCCTAGGTTGAGAACGAGAGATTGGATTATATTGAAAATTTAGTAAGTGATTACCACTTACTATTTGATACCTTCTCCGTGCAGAACCACTTGCTCTACCATTTGGCGGAGAACCAGATACTTCCCCAATAGATGGAGGAGACCCAACTCCTCCCTGAGCAACAGAGTGAGATTGAACTCTACTGCTGATGCTGTGATTAGATGTCTTCTTACCATTTGAACTCCCATGTCCAATCACCTAAAAAAATAAAGGATATACCATCAAAATGTGTGAAAGATATAAAATGACATCCATATTTATACAAGCACATGAACTCATACTGGCAAAGAACTTGCTCTACATTTGAGAGAGTATTTTGTTCTACATTTCTACCACATCCAACCTACTTAAAAGAACATGCTTACTCTTTTAGATCATACAATTTACAAAAACATTTAGAGTAAGAATTAGTATAGTTACTTACAATAAACACCACCCTCCACCCCCACCACGACGTGCAAAAATGATTTGAAGAAAAGACACAGATAGAACATTACATGACAAGAAACCAGTTCTTAACATCCTTAATCTATGAATTCTCCCTTCACTCCATAATGATTATTCCTCATCAATTCTAGCATAACCTATTTGCTTGTTCTACATAGTTGATGAATGAAATTGAACAAACGCTTTCTATAATCCACTATGGTAACACACTGCCACTGCGAGCAATATTTATTCAATGAACTTCCGGCTTTCATTAATTAATCAATGGAAATAGTTAGTATTCATGGAGGCTCGTGGTATATCTTATTTTCTAACTACATTAAGCATCAGAGAGTATTCGAAACCAGAGGTGGACCGGAGAAGTGTTAAGCCATCGCCAAATTGCAACTGAGCCTTCATATTTATCCGTATCCCCAACACGGTCCAACGACTTTCCGACTTCAAAGTGATTTAATTCAGGATGTGTAAATTTAGTCATTCATAAAACAACACTACCACTTCCTCACCTCAATCATAATACAGTAAAACACGAAGAATTCAAAATAGACCTCAGAAAACAATTCAAATGACACAAAACTAGGGGGAAAAAAAAAGCATCTTTAAAATGTACCTTTTTTGAAGATCCACTAGAAGTTCCTGCAGTTTCAGCCATTGAACCTAAAATCACAACAACCAAAAACAATTGCAATAAGAAGCAAATTCAAAAGTGATACAAACAACCTAGTTAGCTCAATTGATCCAAACTCGACAGCAAGAACCCTAAAATCACCTGAAATTGAATTGGGCAAGGAAGCTTCAGATTGAGGTTCGGAGATCCGAATCGAATCAAGAGGTGGAGTTTGCGGGGAAGAGAGAGAACTTTGTTGGTGTTGAGATTGAGGTTCATCAATGGAGATTGAAAAGCCATGATTCAAATTAGGGTTTTGAGCAGAGGAAGACGAAGACGAAGACGATGATGCTGAACCTTGATGGGTGTGTGAGGGCAAGATGGACATGAAATTATGGAGAGAGAATTTGGGGGAATTTTATTTTGAGTTTGAAGAAACTCTGTTCGAAAAACTTTTAATTTCTGAGAATTTTTACGAATCTAGTAGAATGGTTTTATAATTATTCGTGGTGTAGGTGTTGGATTTTTGGAGCATCTTACGCATCTCTCAACGAATCTATGTTTTGCGAAAATGAAAGTTTTAGATGATAATCCTTTTACTTTATGACTTGTTATTGTAATTTTTACCTTGGACTAGTATGTAATATTGTAATCACGCGATATCTATGCATTAGAAAACAGTGGAGTCAATGATGGAGGGAGTTTATTGGGAATATCGTTATGTAATAGTAATTGCATAACAAGGGCCATTTTAGGAATTTCGCTGAAACATCATATCCCGTTATTCTTTTTGCAAGTCCGTTCGTACTTTTTTTTTTGGTATTTTTGTATTTGTATAGTAATTTCTACTCTTTAACCCCAAATACTTCTCACTCTCTTTCCTTTCTCCTTTGTCTCTCTCCTCTCGCTCCTTTATCTGTCCTCTCTCCTTCATTTCTAATCTCTGCGTTTATCTATTCTCTTCATCTTCGTTTGTGAAGTTCGTAGTTGGAAAGTTGGTAACAGGGCCGTAGCAAGGCCAGGGCAGGTGGGGCAACCGCCCTGGGCCCCCAAACCAAAAGCCCATCTTCAAATCTAATAAAGGCCCCAAAATTATCTTTTTAAAAAAAACCAAAATTAAAAGAAAAAAAAAAAGAAACGTGAGTTTCATAGTTCAGACTTTCATAACATTAGAAGAATTCCAAAAGCCTTCGCTGTTCATCCTCCTTCTTCCCTTATTTTTCTCCCAAAATATTCACTTTCCTAAGTGAAGTTTGATTAACCCAAAAAAAATGTCATTAATTCAATTTCATCCCCTTTTGTCGGCGATTTTGTTCTTCAAAACGTATCTCAAATTAATTTCCCTCTCCGTCGTGATTATGCTGAACGGTAATTTTATCCTTCAATTTATCAATTATCAACGGAAACTTATCTAATTATATATAATTCTCTATGTATATTGTATATTCTACTTTATTTATCATTTCTATTAACTTTTCATAATCTTTACAATTTCTTTCAATTATAAAATTGGGGGAAAAATTATCTAATTCTTTAATTGGTTGAAAGTAGGATTGGTTCGTTTGATAAAATTTCGGTTGTTCTAATTGATAAATTTCGGTTGAATTGGTTCGTTTGATAATATTTCGGTTGTTCGTTTGATAAAATTTTGATTAACTTTGATTGTTCTAATTGGAGTAATTGTTTATTTGCTTGATTTGCTAGTTTTCTATGGCCCTGATTGCTTGATTTGCTTGGAGTCTTTCGACCGTCGACAAGAGCTACGACATACGGGATCATCATTTCATCAAAATGCTAGATTGCTAAGGTTAATTCTTAATTTCTTATTTAACCTTTTAATTTTATACTTTTTCATTCTTAAATAATCATAAATTTATAATTTTTTTTTAATCTAGAGTGCTAAACTGTTAAATGATGAGGATGTTGTTTTTGAGGTGATGAGTACAGAGTACTTGAATGATCTTGATTGTGGATTTGTGGATAGAGTCGTAATATTCTTTGAGGACATTTTCGTTTTTAGTAGTACTGTAGTATATGAGTTTGTTTATAGGATAGTGTCATATATATTATTAATATTAATTGTTTTAGTCCTTTGACCGTCGACGAGAGGTAAATATTTTTGTTTCAATTGTTTCCTATTTTTCAGATTTGATTACTTGAGATGACATTGATTTGGAGTGCAAATTGAGCGTACTAAGTCAAATAATCAGGTGTTTTTGTTCTTTTCTATACTTATTAATTTATTATTGGCTTTGTTTGATAGAATGTTGCCTAGAAAATATTTATCCGGTAATGATAAGAGGAAAAAAAGAAAACGGGCATAAGAGTTAATAGAATCTCAAAAGGGTGTCATTGACAATTTTTTTACTAAAGTAGTACAAGTAGAAGAGTCTTCTAATGAATTGGGTGAAAATGAAAATCAAGAACAATTTAATGAGAATATAAATAATGAAAATTGTGATAATGAGCCTAATGAGGATGCGACTAATATGAATGAACCAACGAATGTACCAAATACATCCGATGTTAGTGATGTTGGCATTGATCAAGTAGTCCCTCCTTTAGATATTTATGATCCTAAAAATTGGGATAATCTTGACATCAAAGGAAGGGATATTTTGATACAAAAAGGACCTATTAGAGATTTGAACCTTGTGTTTCCAATTGATAACAAATTAAGACATTTTTCATATGCCTATTACACTAAGAAGTTGAGTAATGGTGAGACTTTTGATAGAAAATGGTTGGTTTACTCAAAATTAGCTGATAAAGTATATTGTTTTTGCTGTAAATTGTTCACATCTCAAAATAACAAAACTTTTTTAGCAAGTGATGGTGTGAATGATTGGAAACATCTTGGTGAGAAACTCAAATTATATGAGAATAGTGTTGAGCATATGACTAATATGAACACTTGGTATGAAACAAGAGTGAGACTAGAATTGAATAAAGGCATCGATAAAGACTTGCAAGAGTCAATTTCAAAGGAAAAATAGCGTTGGAGGCAAGTCTTAATTCAAATTGTTTCTGTTGTGAAATGTCTAGCTAAAAATAATTTAGCTTTTCGTGGATCTAGTGGAAAACTTTATGATGATTGTAATGGTAATTTTTTGGGCTTAATTGAAATGATAGCTGAATTTGATTTGGTAATACAAGATCATGTTAGACGTATTCAAAGCCAAGAAATTCACAAACATTACCTTGGTCCTCAAATTCAAAATGAGCTTATTTATCTTTTATCTCATGGTGTTCGGACTTCAATGATAAAAATATATAATAAAAGAGTCAAAATATTTTTCTGTAATCCTTGATTGTACCCCTAATGTGAGCCATCAAGAACAAATGACTTTGATAGTAAGATGTGTGAATGTATCAAGTGATAAAATCAAGATAGAAGAGTTTTTTTTAGAATTCTTAAAAGTAGATGATACTTCTGGTTTGGGACTTTTTAATGTATTGTTAGATGTATGTAAGTCCCTTGATTTGGATATTGATGATGTAAGGGGGCAAGGTTATGACAATGGCTCTAATATGAAAGGGAAACATCAAGGGGTTCAAAAGAGATTGCTTGAAATTAATCCAAGGGCTTTATATATGCCATGTGCTTGTCATAGTCTTAATCTCACTCTTTCTGATATGGCACATTCTTGTGTTAAAGCTATTTCTTTTTTTGGAATTGTACAACGTATATACACATTATTTGCACATTCCACTAAAAGGTGGAAGATTTTAGTTGACAATGTCCCGAGTTTAACTGTTAAATCTTTGTGCAATACTAGATGGGAGAGTCGAATTAAGAGTGTTAAAGCTATAAGGTTTCAATCTCCTCAAATTAGATTAGCTTTGTTGGAATTTTATAATTCTAGTGGTGATGACGCCGATATTGCTAAAACAAAAAGTGAAGCCGAAAGTTTGGCTAATTCTCTTGCAAGTTTTGAATTTTTACTTGGCATGGTAATTTGGTATGACATTTTATTTGCTATTAACATTGTGAGTAAAAAGTTGCAATCTAAATCCATGAGTATTGGAGTTGTCATGAACAAAGTGCAAGGTATGATCACATATTTTGAGAAATATAGAATTGAAGGGTTTGAATCTAGTTTAAATACTGCCAAAATCCTTGCACTTGATATGGATATAGAGCCAACATTTCCAATAAAGCGTCGCATCACTAGAAAAAGACAATTTGATGAGAATGAGAATGACGATAATGATGAGGGAATACAATCACCCGAGGAATCTTTTAGCGTAAATTATTTTTTGGTGGTTGTTGATATTGCAATAGCTTCTTTGAAAGATAGATTTGAGCAATTGGAGGTATTTGATAACATTTTTGGTTTTTTATTCGATGCAAAAAGGTTGAAATCATTGGATAATGACGATTTAAGAAAATCTTGCACAAGTTTTATGACTACCTTTACTCATAATAATTTTTCGGATGTTGATGCAGATGATCTTTTTCTGAATTGAAAGTGTTACAAATGACTTTGCCAAATTATTTGATGTCAGCATTTGAAATCCTTGAGTTTGTCAAAGCTGCAGATTGTTATCTAAATGTTTATATTGCCTATCGAATCCTATTAACTATGTCGGTGACAGTTGCATCTGCTGAAAGAAGTTTTTCGAAGTTAAAATTACTAAAGACCTACTTGAGATCTTCAATGTCACAAGAAAGGTTGAATGGTCTAGCTACTTTATGTATTGAGAAAAATATGTTAGAACATATTAATGTAGAAACTATTATTAGTGACTTTGCATCTAGAAAGGCTCGTAGAAATATTTTCATATGAACGCTGGCTTTGATTTCAATGTTTTATCTATATGAAATTTGTTGTTTTTAAAGATTATTATGCGTAATAAAATATGTAGTTTTTTGCCTACTCAATTTTTATTTTATTTCAAAATATTTATGTGAATTAGGCCCCCATTTTATGTCTTCGCCCCGGGCCACCGAAATTTCTGAAATGGCCCTGGTTGGCAATTATCTAATTACCATTCTCGGTTGTGCGAAGCTGGTGGAGTCGTTCGTTCAAGGTTTGGTCGTCCTGTCGTGAAAATTTGAAGTAAAAGGGCGGTAAATCATTTTTGTGGGTAAGTCGAAACTTTAGGGTAGTGCTTGTATGGAATTGATTTGATTGTTCCCCTTGACAATTGATTTCGACTTAAACTTGAAATTTTAGGGTTAGGGTAATTAAGAAGGATTGAATTGAGGGTTAATTTTGTTGGTTCCCCTTGATTTCGACTTTTGATTTATTTGAAAATGCAAGTTTGTTTATTGGATTTTTGATTTTTTGATTTCGACTTTTGAATACTGAGTTTGTTAGGGTTTTATAATTTTATAATGTCGATGAGTTAGGGGTTCTAAAATTGCGTTTTTGGGTAGCTTGTAAAATTTGTCATTCTAGATTGAATTTGTGGTTTTAGAATGTGATTATGTATGTGGCTATTTTAATTGTTGTGGTTTTAATCTAGTTGGAAGAAGGGGGATGAGAGTGAAAATTTAAAAAGTGTTCAACTTTAAAAAATGTTAGGCAACAAACTTGGATTTGACCGAGTGAATTTGTTGGATTTAAAAGTTGTTCAACTTTAAAAAATGTTGTGCTATTCATAAGTGAACATAAGAAATGAGGGAACTTAATTAATTTTGATGTGTTAGCTAAGACGTTTTTTCACATTTGCATATCTAGAAGTTCATCTTATTTGTTTAAATATGCAGATGCTTGATTCATTTATTTCTATGCTCCTATTTCTATGATTCATTTATTTTGTATGCTAGTTGTTAATCCTTAAGAGTCAGCTGACATTTCAAATCCAGGTTAGTGCTAAGCAATAGCATCTTCAGTCCGTCTTGGACACAAACAACAAATAAATGAATAAATACTAGTAAATAAAAAAGAGGTGAAGAGGAGAGATAGAGAGCAAAACACAGGTGGGGATCATTTGGGGATTGTAAGCTATAAAGTCTGTAATGTTCACAGGGGTTGGAAGTATGAGTCTGACAGAACTTTCATTGCATACTAGTTGATTAGATTTATAATGCTTTTGCACATGCCTTAACATTGAGCTATTTGGAAATGGTCGTTTAATTCTCTTTATTGTCCAGTTGAATAGTAGTTAATTTTAATTGTAGAAAGGATTGAAATGCTTTTCCACATGCCTTTTATTTATATTGAAATGCTGGTGCTGATAAATGCTTTTGCACATACCAAGTTGCTGGGTGGAGATGATTAAGATAATGTTATTATGTACCTATAATGTTATTATATAGAATGATGCATGGGTTGAAGTTGTGTTAATTTATCTTCAATTGAAAATGTCTTTACTTTGTCTTTGAAATAGGGTTTGCTATAAAGCGAAGAAGATGATGAGGAATAAGTTTGTAGTTCGAAATTTTTCTTGGAAACGGATAGGGGTGAGTGTTCCTATGGAGTTCAACTATTAAAATTGTGGATATTTTCTTTAGTATGTAAGCTGACAGTGGTTATTTGTTATGTTATGGTACTTGGTAATCATGTTCAAAGTCTGAAGTTTCAAAAGAGGACGCTAGTTATTCAAAAGGAGTTGTTGTTAAGAGGCTGTTAAGGCGAAGTCCAATCTCAAAAGAGGTAAACAGAAACAAACTACATTGGAGTCTGTTAATGAAACTTCTAGTTCTGGTTCGACGCAATCGGAGTACGAGGAAGATGATGTTCAGTCATCTAGCTCAGAGTCCATTGACACTCTGATAAAGGATTACTTGAAGCAAAATAGTAAGAAAAGGAAGCTGGTTGTAGCCCTTAAAGGCTAATCGAGAAAGAAGATCCCTAAAATTGAAGGGCAGAAGGTCCTTGCTAGAGGGGAAGTGTTGAAGCATCATTATGACAATGTTAGGAAGGTATTCCGACTTTACTCCTATATGGCGTGGACTTTTAATTTATGTCTATTTACTTAATCAGATTATGTCAATGGTAATTATGGTAATAGTTTTTTTACAATAGGTTTTCTTGTAGATCAGAGTACATGTTCTACCCTGATCAGAATTTGTGTGTACATGGTGTGGACATGTTCAAATTCATATATGTGGCTATTAGATTGATTAAATTCATAGTAAAATTTTTGAATAATACTTGTGATGAGATTATACTCTTTAATGTTAGTACAAATATACTTATATATGGACTTGTTGGTGCAAAATTCCTTTGTGTGGTATGGACTGTTGGGTTTCATAGCGTCCAACGCTACGCGGAAGAGAAACCCGCCCAAGACCCGCCAATTAATTAAAGCAACTAAACATGTAATCACATAATTAACAACATAAGAGAAACAAAGAGAAAAGACATTCTTACCTTTGACGCTTGCTTCGCTCGATTCACGAGCTCTTACTTCAAAGCTCGAGCCACGCAAGTGCGTAGGCCTCTAACGACTTGCACCCTCGACTCGACCCGAACGGTCTTAATCTCGAAGGTTAGTTGGGACTTGACCCTAAAACTAGAGTATTACGAACTTAAGGGTTTTCTCACTAAAGATGAGATGCCTTATTGATTCAACTCAAGTGATTTTTCCCAAACCCAAAACTTAGGTATTTATAGGGAATGGAGACTTGATCTCCCTTCTCCTATCAATGTGGGAGATTTGCATTTTACTCTATTTTATTTTAATCAAAAACAAAAAAAATGCAAGCAATCAACAAGCTCCAAGTGTCACATGGAGGGAGAGAGTAGGTGAGAACCATTCAAGGGGGGGGGGGGGACCAAATCCCCTTGCTCACCAAGCAAGCCCTTGAAATCGGTCCCCACACAAAACCGTACACCACCTCGCCACTTGGCTGGCTGGCAGCCTGCCTTGACTGCCATCTGGTGCCTAGCACTAAGGCTGGGCAGCCCAGCTAGCCAACACGCAGCATACGCGCAGCCATCAAGCACGCAGCTAGCCAGCGCACACGCATGCGATGTTGCTGCTGCTGCTTGGTGCGTGCAACTATGCGAGCGCACACGCACGCACGCACAGCCCATAATGCCTAGCTAGCTGCTGCGATGCTCGTGCTAGCGATAGCGCTGCTGCTATGCGATGCCTAGCATGTACAACCCATAACACAAGCACGCATAGCGAGCTGCTGTGCGAGTGCTATGCGTTGCATGCTTGCGGCTGGGTGTGTGGCCCAGCACACTAGCATGCTTGCGGTCTCGTGCACGCAATGCATGCTAGGCTTGCGGTATGGCTTGCGATGCGCATGGTAGCTCAAGCTAGCCTAGCACTCGCATTGCTAGGCCAATGCGAGGCTACAACCTAACTCGAACTTGTCGCTTGTTTGATTTCTTCTTTCGTCGAATTGTAAACTCGACTCTACTTGCGACGCTCGGTTTCGACGCTCTAAGCTCGACATCCGACGTCTTTGTTCATAATACTCTAATGACTCATCTAATCCTTCGGATTGATTTGTCATCTCGGATTGGTTATTCGATAGGGGTGCGACCCGATGGGTTCAATCAAGATTAAGCCGTAATATTAATTATGCATTAATATTACCGATCGAAAGCGGACTTCACCTAGGCATTCCGATCACTTGACCTCACTGAAGAATTAGCTTTCTAATAATTCCGAACCCTCTATCGGAATAATACTCTTGTTGGAAGGACACCATTCCTTTCATGGACTTGTTGAGAATGATTCTTATCTAATTACTTTTATGGCTATATAGTTATCCTATGTTTGAAATTTGAGAAGTTTTGCCCTGATATAATGATAAATGCCCTAATATAATGATAAATACCGTGATATAGGCTGAGAGATTGGCTAAATTCTTGTTATGTCCAGTATTATTAGTTCCTTAACAAAGAAATTGTCATCAGAAACCTGGAATGTCTTGCTGTGATTTCATGAATGTTGTTTTCATTTGAAATATATCTAATATATCTTTGTTTGCAACTTACAAGATTTAGCTTTACTTGTCAGACCATCTCTTCCTTGTGGTATGGACCTGTTAATATTTTTTTCTAGAGGTTTGACACAGTTTTTGAGCTAGTAATGACAGGTTTGTTTAGGAGTTGCTTAGTATTGACATGTGTTTGTTGATTTTTTTAGCCCCCGAACATTGTTTGTAGAGTCGAATCATTTTGTGATGATGTTCAAAATTTTGATGAGGACAAAAAGAAGTTGGTCAAAAGGATGAGGTGTGGTAGTTTGTTTAGTCTGAATATGAAGAACATTACTCGCCAGTTCTGTTAAGTGCAAGGAGATGGCACAATAGTGTTTGGGGATGGTGGAGTATTGTCGTTGGGTTCTAGAAAGGTATGGTGTTGGGTCGAACAAGGACAAAATTTCTTTGGCTGAAGCTGCAAAGGTCCTTTTTCCACTTGATAGTAATGAGGAACCAATAAAGCTTGAGTCGGAGGAGGACGAGAGGAATTTATGACCCCATTTTTGTTAGTGGCACTTGAGAAAGTGATTTATACCACCACTAATTCATCTCACCTGGCCGTGTCTTTGGTGCCTGCCTTGATTGTTGTGTGTGAAGCAGCTGAGTATGATTGATGTACGTTTACAATGGCCTGGCTGAAGGATACCGCAACACAATTTAAAAGGCGATTTGACTGATTTGGGTTTAGATTAGGATGTGGTGGCAATATTGTGTTTGTTCTAGTAATTTTTCTACCTTATCTATCACTATGTTCTTAGTTTGTCAGTTTATTCACTCATATACCTAATTTAATACTTTAATTTATGATGTTTGCAGATTTACCTAAATCATTTGGAATGTATACCTGTGAAGTGGGGTGTGGTTCCTAGGCTCTAGGTGTGGGATACAGAG